CCTTAGCCCCTTATGGTCCCTTAACTTGCTCTACCTTAGCCCCTTATGGTCCCTTAACTTGCTCTCCCTTAGCCCCTTATTGTCCCTTAACTTGCTCTCCCTTAGCCCCTTATGGTTCCCCTTAACTTGCTCTCCCTTAGCCCCTTATGGTCCTTACCTTGCTCTCCCTTAGCCCCTTATGGTCCCTTAACTTGCTCTCCCTTAGCCCCTTATGGTCCCTTAACTTGCTCTCCCTTAGCCCCTTATGGTTCCTTAACTTGCTCTCCCTTAGCCCCTTATGGTCCCTTAACTTGCTCTCCCTTAGCCCCTTATTGTCCCTTAACTTGCTCTCCCTTAGCCCCTTATGTTCCCTTACCTTGCTCTCCCTTAGCCCCTTATGGTCCCTTACCTTGCTCTCCCTTAGCCCCTTATGTTCCCTTACCTTGCTCTCCCTTAGCCCCTTATGGTCCCGTAACTTGCTCTCCCTTAGCCCCTTATGGTCCCTTACCTTGCTCTCCCTTAGCCCCTTATGTTCCCTTACCTTGCTCCACCCACCGCCCTTACTCATCCCCCTCACCCCTCACTCACCCCTCACTCACCCTCTCACCCCTCACTCATCCTCCTCACCACTCACTCATCCCCCTCACCACTCACTCATCCCCCTCACCCCTCACTCACCCCCTTACCCCTCACTCACCCCCTCACCCCTCACTCATCCCCCTCACCCCTCACTCACCCCCCTCACCCCTCACTCACCCCCTCACCCTTCACTCACCCCCTCACCCCTCACTCATCCCCCTCACCCCTCACTCATCCCCCTCACCCATCCCCCTCACCCCTCACTCACCCCCCTCACCCCTCACTCATCCCCCTCACCCTTCACTCATCCCCCTCACCCTTCACTCATCCCCCTCACCCTTCACTCATCCCCCTCACCCCTCACTCATTCCCCTCACCCTTCACTCATCCCCCTCACCCCTCACTCATCCCCCTCACCACTCACTCATCCCCCTCACCCCTCACTCATCCCGCTCACCCCTCACTCATCCCCCTCCCCCCTCACTTATCCCCCTCACCCCTCACTCATCCCCCCTCACCCCTCACTCATCCCCCTCCCCCCTCACACATCCCCTCACCCCTCACTCATCCCCCTCACCCCTCACTAATCCCCCTCACCCCTCACTCATCCCCCTCACCCACCCCCTCACCCCTCACTCATCCCCCTCACCCCTCACTCATTCCCCTCACCCCTCACTCATCCCCTCACCCTCACTCATCCCCCTCACCCCTCACTCATCCCCCTCACCCCTCACTCATCCCGCTCACCCCTCACTTATCCCCCTCACCCCTCACTCATCCCCCTCACCCCTCACTTATCTCCCCTCACCCCTCACTCATCCCCCTCACTCATCACTCACCCTCTCACCCCTCACTCACCCTCTCACCCCTCACTCACCCTCTCACCCCTCACTCATCCCCCCCACCCCTCACTCACCCCCCTCACCCCTCACTCACCCCCCTCATCCCTCACTCACCCCCCTCATCCCTCACTCATCCCGCACTCATCCCCCACTCATCCCCCTCCCCCCTCACTCATCCCCCTCACCCCTCACTCATCCCCCTCATCCCTCACCCCCACTCACCCCTCACTTATCCCCCTCACCCCTCACTTATCCCCCTCACCCCTCACTTATCCCCTCACCCCTCACTTATCCCCCTCACCCCTCACTTATCCCCCTCACCCCTCACTTATCCCCCTCACCCCTCACTCATCCCCCCTCACCCCTCACTCATCCCCCTTCACCCCTCACTCATCCCCCTCATCCCTCACTCATCCCCCTCCCCCCTCACTCATCCCCTACCCCCTCCCCCCTCACTCATCCCCCTAACCAATCACTCATCCCCCTCACCCATCACTCATCACCCTCACCCCTCACTCATCACCCTCACCCTCCCCCCTTACCCTCTCACTCACCCCCCCTCACCCCTCACTCACCCCCCCTCACCCCTCACTCATCCCGCTCACCCCTCAATCATCCCCCTTCACCCCTCACTCATCCCCCTCACCCCTCACTCATCCCCCCTCACCCCTCACTCACCCCCTCACCCCTCACTCATCCCCTCACCCCTCACTCATCCCCCTCACCTCCCCCCTCACTTATCCCCTTCACCCCTCACTCATCCCCCTCACTCATCACTCACCCTCTCACCCCTCACTCACCCTCTCACCCCTCACTCATCCCCCCACCCCTCACTCACCCCCTCACCCCTAACTCTCCCCCACTCACCCCTCACTCATCCCCCACTCATCCCTCACTCATCCCCCTCATCCCTCACTCATCCCCCCTCCCTCACCTCCTCATCCCCCTCCCCCTCACTCATCACCCCTCACCCTCACTCATCCCCCTCCCCCTCACCCCTCACCCCTCACTCCCCCTCACCCCTCACTCTCCCCCTCATCCCCCTCACTCCTCCCTCCCCCCCTCATCCCCCTCACTTATCCCCCTCACCCCTCACTCATCCCCCTCACCCCTCACTCATTCCCCTCACCCTCACCCATCCCCTCACCCCCCTCACCCCTCACTCATCCCCCTCACCCTCACTCATCCCCCTCCCCCCACTCACCCCCTCCCCTCACTCATCCCCCTCCCCCCTCACTCATCCCCCTCCCCCTCACTCATCCCCCTCACCCCTCAGCCTCATCCCCCTCACCCCTCACTCATCCCCCTCCCCCCTCACTCATCCCCCACCTCTCCCCCTCACTCATCACCCCCCACTCATCCCCTCACCCCTCACTCATCCCCCTCACCCCTCACTCATCCCCTCAACCCTCCCTCACCCTCCCCCTCACCCCTCACTCATCCCCCTCACCCCTCACTCATCCCCCTCACCCCTCACTCATCCCCCTCACCCCTCACTCATCCCCTCACCCCTCACTCATCCCCCTCACCCCTCACTCACCCCCTCACCCCACTCATCCCCTCACCCCTCACTCCCCCCCTCACCCCTCACTCCTCCCCTCACCCCTCACTCATCACCCCCTCACCCCTCACTCACCCTCTCACCCCTCACTCATCCCCCCCTCACCCCTCACTCATCCCCCTCACCCCTCACTCACCCCCTCACCCCTCACTCATCCCCTCACCCCTCACTCACCCTCCCTCATCCCCACTCATCCCCCTCATCCCCCTCCCCCTCACTCATCCCCCTCCCCCTCACTCCCCTCCCCCTCACCCCCCTCACCCCTCACTTATCCCCCTCACCCCTCACTTATCCCCCTCACCCTCTTCACCCCTCACCCCTCACTTATCCCCCCACCCCTCACTCATCACCCCTCACCCCTCCCCTTCATCCCCCCACCCCTCACTCATCCTCCTCACCCCTCACTCATCCCCCCCCCCTCACTCATCCCCCTAACCAATCACTCATCCCCCTCACCCCTCACTCATCACCCTCACCCCTCACTCATCACCCTCACCCCCTTACCCTCTCACTCACCCCCCTCACCCCTCACTCACCCCCCTCACCCCTCACTCATCCCCCTCACCCCTCAATCATCCCCCTCACCCCTCACTCATCCCCCTCACCCCTCACTCATCCCCCTCACCCCTCACTCACCCCTCACCCTCATTCATCCCCCTCACCCCTCACTCATCCCCCTCACCCCTCACTTATCCCCTTCACCCCTCACTCATCCCCCTCACTCACTCACTCACCCCCCTCACCCCTCACTCACCCTCTCACCCCTCACTCATTCCCCCCACCCCTCACTCTCCCCCTCACCCCTAACTCATCCCCTCACCCCTCCCTCATCACCCTCACCCCTCACTCATCCCCCCTCACCCCTCACTCATCCCCCTCACTCATCACTCACCCTCTCACCCCTCCTCACCCTCTCACCCCTCGCTCATCCCCCCACCCCTCACTCACCCCTCACCCCTAACTCATCCCCTCACCCCTCCCTTATCACCCCTCACCCCTCACTCATCCCCCTCACCCCTCACTCACCCTCACCCTTCACTCATCCCCCTCACCCCTCACTCACCCCTCACCCTTCACTCATCCCCTCACCCCTCAATCATCCCCCCTCACCCCTCACTCATCCCCCTCACCCCTCACTCATCCCCCCTCACCCCTCACTCACCCCCTCACCCCTCACTCATCCCCTCACCCCTCACTCATCCCCCTCACCCCTCACTTATCCCCTTCACCCCTCACACATCCCCCTCACTCATCACTCACCCTCTCACCCCTCACTCACCCTCTCACCCCTCACTCATCCCCCCACCCCTTACTCACCCCCTCACCCCCTCATCCCCTCACCCCTCCCTCATCACCCTCATCCCTCACTCATCCCGCACTCATCACCCACTCATCCCCCCTCCTCCCCTCACTCATCCCCCTCACCCCTCACTCATCCCCCTCACCCCTCACCCCTCACTCACCCCTCACTTATCCCCTCACCCCTCACTTATCCCCCTCACCCCTCACTTATCCCCTCACCCCTCACTTATCCCCCTCACCCCTCACTCATCCCCCTCACCCCTCACTCATCCCCCTTCACCCCTCACTCATCCTCCTCATCCCTCACTCATCCCCCTCCCCCCTCACTCATCCCCCTACCCCTCCCCCCTCACTCATCCCCCTAACCAATCACTCATCCCCCTCACCCATCACTCATCACCCTCACCCCTCACTCATCACCCTCACCCCTTACCCTCTCACTCACCCCCCCCTCACCCCTCACTCACCCCCCCTCACCCCTCACTCATCCCGCTCACCCCTCAATCATCCCCCTTCACCCCTCACTCATCCCCCTCACCCCTCACTCATCCCCCTCACCCCTCACTCACCCCTCACCCCTCACTCATCCCCTCACCCCTCACTCATCCCCCTCACCCCTCACTTATCCCCTTCACCCCTCACTCATCCCCCTCACTCATCACTCACCCTCTCACCCCTCACTCACCCTCTCACCCCTCACTCATTCCCCCCACCCCTCACTCACCCCCTCACCCCTA